TGTCATAATTGATTATATTATCAATATAATTAATTATGATAGAGAAAATCATTTTTCCATTTCTGGTGCATCATAATTAATTATGACACTGAAAAATATCATGTTATGAATTTTATCACTTTAAGACTTCTCTTAACTCCCCTTGTTTAATTTAGATAAGAAAGAATTTCACACAGATTTTAATTCATCAAAAAATCTCCCCCTGTTTCGAATGCATTAATATCATCAAAATATTTCCATGTTTCATTGAAAATTATGAAAAATATTATAAGAGAAAAAAATCTCCCCTGTTTCACACAGATTAATATCATCAAAATATCTTCATGTTTCATTGATAATTATGAAAAATATTGCAATAGAAACTAAGAACAAATTTGTACCTATTAGTATATAAATCAAGGTAGAGAAGATAATGCATTAAAAAGTGTCATAGAGAAGAATATCATATTAAGGAAACAATATCTAGGATACCCAAGACAAATGAAGAGAGAGAAAGATAGGGGAATAAAATGATTATAGAGATAATGAAATTAAATGCAGTAGTTTCCCTCCATTGCAGTCTTCTTATTTAGGCAGCTTTCAAATTCAAATGCACTCATATTCCAGATTTCAAATTTCAAATTCAAATTGCAACAAATTTCAAATTTCAAATTCAAATTCCAACCAATTCCAAATTTCAAATTCAAATTTCTAATCCCAAATTTCAAATTCAACTTTCAAATTCCAATTCAAATTTAATTTCAAAAATCTCAAACTCGCAAAAATTTCAAATTTCAAAATCTCAAACTACAAAATTTCAAATTTCAAAAATCTCAAATTGTAAAATTTCAAATTTCAAAAATCTCATATTGCAAAAAATATCTCAAACTGCAAAATTTCAAATTTCAAAAATCTCAAACTGCAAAATTTCAAATTTCAAGAATCTCAAATTACAAGATTTCAAACTTTATAATTTCAAATTTTCATAAATTCAAATTTTGAAAATTTAAACTTTCAACATAATTGATTATGACAACAAGAAAAAATTCGATTCTGATAATCAATTAGATGCTCAAATTATCATCTAGACATGTATAAATGCTTTGTTCCTTTAGGCACCCATTCATATTTTCCATTAGATATGTCAAAATGTTTTATGTAACATCTATTTGATGTATGACCTAATTTCATGCAATAAAAACATGTTGGTTTTCTTTGAAAAGGTTTTAATGAGTTTCTTAAAGTTTTTGAAACTGGTTTGACATCTGTTTTCCTTGACTCTTTCACAAAAACAGTTTTATGAGGTTCTAAACTTTCTTTGGGTTTGTAACCAAGTCCAGCTTTGCTAGAATTCCCTCTTTGATAACCTAATATAGAATCAAGATTTTCAAAAGATTTTGAAAACTTGCTTATTATTTTCTCTAACTTGAAAATCTCATTTTCCAAAAGATTACAATTTTCACAAGGTTTAGCAACTTCTTTATTTTTAGACCAAGTTTAAAATTTCTCAACATCTTTCTTTAAACACTCATTTTCTTTTTCAAGAGTACCAACAGTATTTTCTAATGCATTAATCTTTTGTCTAAGTGCATTATATTTCTTAGATAACTTGGTAAAACCTTCATACATATCTTGATATTCTTTAAATAACTCATCATATTCATTTAAGGAATTTGTACTACTTACCTGTGATGAGGCTTCACCATCACTTTTTGTCATCAAGCAAAGATTTGCTTCTTCTTCTCCATCACTGTTTTCAAAAGAACTCTCTTGTGTTGTGAAAGAATCATTATCCTCCCAAGCAATATAAGTTTTGCATTTGCTTTTATAGGTATCGTTCTTCTCTTTCTTCTTCTCTTTCACATCTTTCTTCTCTTTGTTAAGTTTCGGATAGTATGATTTGATATGTCTAGGTTTTTCACATTCATAGCAATGAAATTTATTTGTTTTCTCCTTTCTTTGTTGTCTCTTTTTCCTGTTCTTTATAAAGCGAGAACATTGTTTAACAAAAAGAGACATATCGGAGTCCAAAAACTTACCTTCATTTTCTCTTTCGTCTTGTGAAGATTTTTCTGCTTTTCGAGCTATCGTCTTGGTTTGATTCTATTCACCGTTCTTTAACCTTTGTAGCTCCATCTCATGTTCTTGCAGCTTTCCAAATAGAGTAGCAATATTCATTTTTGTAAGATCCTTTGATTCTGTAATAGCAGTGACCTTTGGTTGCCAATTTTTGTCTAAGGATTTCAAGATCTTTGTGTTCAACTCCTCATTGTCAAAACTCTTTCCTAATGCTTTCAAGTGATTTACTATATGTGTGAAGCGTGTTTGGAAATTCGTGATGCTTTCATTTTGCTGCATTTGAAATAATTCATACTCTTGGATGAGTGTGTGTTTACGTGCTCGCTTTACTTCATTTGTTCCTTCATGTGTTACTTTAAGAGTGTCCCATATTTCTTTTGTCATCTTGCATTGTGAGACCCTGAAAAATTCATTACGAGTTAAGGCAGAAACAATAGCATTTCGGGCTCTTACATCATAATGGGCACGCTTATTTTCATCTGGCGTCCACTGATCAAAAGTCTTTGGAACAACTCCAGACTCCGTTGTTCTCATCGGAATGTAGGGACCATTGAGTACAGCATCCCAAACACCATAATATAGTGTTTGTAAAAATATTTCCATTCTCGCCTTCCAAAACTGATAGCCTTCTCCTTCAAATAATGATGGTCTGTTTATTGAAGGTCCTTCCCTGTAAACCTGATTCTGCATAGACATCTTGACAGATCGTTTAGAAATATCTTATCTAACCAAGCTCTGATACCACTTGTTAGACAAATGGCATCTAGAGGGGGGTGAATAGATGCACAAATTAAAATAGATATCAAATTAAAAATTTATTTGTGAGTCAATAATTTGTTAAAGTGGAAGCAATAATATAATCAGGAAAAGAGAAAGAGATAAGGGAAAGAGAAGAGCACACAGACATTTATAATGGTTCGGGTATAGCCAACCCTACATCCAGTTCTCAGTCAACTCTTAACACAAGAGTGACTCCCCATTCATTATCTTTCAAATTTAGTTTACAAATTACAATCAACTCAGCAGAAGAACCAGTAAAAAGTAAACTAATTAAAAAGACAATCACCTCCTTAGAAACCCACTAAGGATGAACACCTCCCTATAATCCCACTAGGGATGAACACCTCCTCTGAACAAATCAAAGGATGAAAAACACCTCCTTAGAATCCCACTAAGGATGAACCCCTCCCTAGAATCATACTAGGGATGAAAAACACCTCCTTTTCACCAATACAAAAAGGATTAAGGTAATAAAATAAGAACAGACACACCTGGGTAATGGAGACAACAAATTGTAGAAGTTTGTACAATGTCAATCTCTAAGAACAAGTGTGATTAACAATGAAAGCACAGAAGGCAGTAGAGAAGAGGGTTTTCTCAAAAGGTGTAAAATATCTCTGTTGCCTTGCTCAGAATTCTTTTCTCAAACTTGATTGAATGTAAATTGTATTTTCGAATTCTGTAATTGTGTGTTTTTTATTTTTCATCAAAACTTAATTAAATAGAAAAATAGCATCAGAAAATGGTTGTTGAACATTAATAATATCATAGAGAAAATCAGGATGTATTAAAAAATATTTATTCTTTAAAACGGATATATTTTTCAAATTTGAATTGTCATAATTAATTATATTACCAGTATAATTAATTATGATAGAGAAAATCATTTTTCCATTTCTGGTGCATCATAATTAATTATGACAGTGAAAAATATCATGTTATGAATTTTATCACACTTGTGCTTTGGAGGCTTATGCATAATATTACTTCATCAACTTGTACCTTCATATCCTGTATTCTACGACTCTATCTAGTCTTCAGGAATCATTTTGGACTTGCTTGAATCATCATCTTTATCAAAAACATATATTGGGCATGTAGGGAAATGTTTCACATTGTCACCTACGTCATAAATTCAGTTTGTCCTTAAATTCATCTTGAATGGTGTTGACTTGAATATAGTTGACTTGAATCATCATCAAAATCATCTCTTAAGAATATAGGGACATTTCCATCAATGTCCCCTTCATTACTTTCAAAAGAAATATGAAATTTTACGTTTGGTGATAACATGCTATGGATAGATGGTCTTGGTCAAATCCATATATTCTAAGAAAAAATATTTAAATCTCATCGATCTCATAAGTATTATACTAAATCTCATCAATTAAATCAATTTTATTTCATTTTTATTAAGAATATTACTTATTATCTTTTATTTAAATTAGGTATTAAAATATTTTTATTATTTTTTATAAAAGAAGATAAAAATATATTAAATTATTATTTTGATTAAAATATTACTATAATTTGATATTTTGTTATATTTTTACTCTATATATAAATAGAGTATATCAATAAAATATATACCATATAAGATATATTTTATATATCAGAAATGCACATAAAAAATCCTAAAAATTCTCATCAGTTTCCTATGAAGATGATTGAAAAATCAATGCTGCTGCTGTAAAGATAGAAATGCTGCGTGGACAAAAAAATGTGCATAGAAGATTTTTCTGTTTTGCAAATCTCAACATTGACAATTTAGGAAACACCTCTATTTACACTCCCAATTGGCATGAGAAAATCTGTCAGCTCCGAGAAATAGTAAATTATCCTCAAATTTTTCAGTTCAAATCTTGATGAAAGAATGAAATGATGAAAAAAAAAAACATGTCAGCCATAAATTAAGCATATAAAGCCCCAACCACGCTTTCAAATTAAATTGCAACAAAAACGTTCCTATCTTGTATTCGCAGTTGACAAGTTACTGCTCATGGTGGATTCATTCATTCATATATTTTGCTTCTCACCAAAGAGAAAAAGCCAAATCCTAGTAGCTTTTAAACCATAATCAAACAATAGACCGAACAATTCTTCATGTCTGCAAACGACTGGTCAGAACCTGTGGTATGTAACTTCTGCATGAGGAGATACTGTCATTGGTGCTGCTCTTGTTGCGGCCTTAGCAGTTGAGGACGCAGTCTTTGATGTTCTTGCTGCTGGTGTGCGTGATCACGACGTGGTTGTTGTGTCGTAGAAGATTGAATCAGTCTTCTCATTCTCCATCTAACATATTCAGTTACCAAAGTATTCAAGCTGATTGAAATCCCAAATCCAGTGAACGAGGAGAGAAGAACTGAGAGGATGGAATTAACATTAAGCTACAAAGGAAAAGGGTGTGTTAGATAATTTAAATTTTGTTTTCCTGCACAAAATGACACAAGTTCTATTTGGATAAACTTTTCAATCAAGAGAAGAAAAAAGAGGGTAAAATGAAATCAATATTTTCAAAAGATAAAAATTAGTTATGATGATCTATTTGGAGAAGCTTCTGCAGGAGCATTTTTCAGAGAAAAAAATAAGAAAAAGAATATGAAATAAGTTTAAAATTAATTTATGCAAAAGTTAAAAATAAAAATTTAGTTAAACTATATGAGAGAACTTATACAAACTAGCTTATCTAAATTTAGCTTAAGAAGAAACTTATCTCATTATTTCTTCTGATTTTTCTCTTCTAAATGTGCTAATAATTTTGTCCACATAGACTAAGTTAATTTGTAGAAAATTTCATATACTTCTTTAAAATGTTAATGTTAATGTTAATTTTGACTTAAACATATTTATGGCAAAAGCTTAATTTGTGTTATCTTCTTGTTTTCTTCTCCTAAAAGTGTTCATTGAAAAGTTTATTCAGACAAGAGTTTCTTTGACCATGTGAGGTGCGGAATCATTAAAGTTCTACTACATCAAGATAGGACAGAAACTAAGTATTCTTACTATGGTATAAAACACATGAGCAAACAGGATGACAATTGCAAACTGGAAGCAAGCATAGGCCCACATGTAGCTCCCGCTCACTGCCACCGAAAAGATTGTTAAACATGTTAATCACGATCAGCAAAAAAGTTTTTATTTTAATGAGAAATTAAAAAGTATCATATCTGTCAGAGTATTAGTACAACTCTCTAGTGTATTGGTCTTGTTCCAATTAGTAGTCATGGTAAAAATAAAAAGAACAATGCTGGGCTTTGATTGATGTAACATAACATGATCCTTTTTGAAAATGTTTCTACATCAAATGAACAAAGAAAATGGAGTGTTCCAAATTTCAATGGTATCCAAGTGTTTAAGGATACAGTTATAATTTCATTTCTAAAGTGACCCAAGCACTAGGGTCGAGACACAGCCATCCTCTCAAGCATCCTATTTCAATAATATTCATGCTTCGTGGCTAAAATTAGCTAGCCCAAAAAGGAAATGGAAAGCAGCATATAAAAGGAACCATAATTACTTTGACAGATAAAGGAAAAGAAAAGGAAGCAAGTTTACCCATGGTTGAAGCAATCATGGAAGAAAGGAGTCCTAAAACACAGGAGAAAGGTAATGAAATAGCAAGAGCACGAGTGCCCAAATCTGAAACCTGATACACTAGAAATCATTGAGTCAGACATATTTCGTGCAGTACAAAATATGTTTGGAGAAAACAAGCAAATAAAGGGGATGGGGCAAGATTATACAACACAATACTTCAGAGTATTGGAATAAATAAAGGTCAATCCTTTACATTTGGTTTCCTTATTTTCTTGTTTTTTTTTTCTTTTCTTTTTTTTAATATTTTATGATTTGTTTCCTTAATTGGTTAGGGTTATTAGTATAAAAAGGTCAACCTCTTAATCATCACATTACATCTTATTTTAAAACATCACAAAATAAGGACTTGAGTTTTTTCCAATAAATCTTATAGAGTGAATGAGTGCCAACCCAGGCACTACGTCAGCTAGTTTCATTTGCAATATACAAATAAAAAATGACCCCAACCATTTTTGTCACTGTACCAAGATCAGTAGCATACCAGTAGTTCCTCAAGAAAACAAAAGTATGCAAGCATGCTGACCAAGACAAGTACTGATAAATCCTGCCATATCCTGCACAGTGCATTATGATTAGAATAGAAAGTCAGAAATTGTCTATGACTTGTAACAATTTTATAGACCTGGCAAAGCATTGTTTACTGATAACTGTGACATTGTTCGAATTCAGACATAAGTTGCATATATTTTTCTAGAAAATTAGATTAAATGAAATCTTATTTTATTATTTTAATACAAAGAGATCATACAAGATATATACAGAAGACCTAAGTTATTTTAAGAAATATAATAACTCTATTTTATTCTAGGATCCATTAATTTATGGGATTGTTCCTAATTGTTCAAATCTGTACAGATTACAAATTTCTAATTTATTCTTTTCTAAAATACTATTTGATTTCCCACACTCCCCCTCAAAGCTGGTGAATAGGTGTTTTCCATTCCAATCTTCTCAAAATTGTGGCAGCCCAGTCCCTTAGTAAGAATATTTGCAATTTGGTCTTGAGAGGACACATATAGAGTGCATATCAAGCCACTATCAAGCTTTTCTTTGATGAAGTGTCTGTCTACTTCAATATGCTTTGTTCTATCATGTTGCACTAGGGTGTGGGCTATGCTGATTGCTGACTTATTATCACAATAGAGCTTCATAGGTTCTTCCCATTTTATCCTCAAGTCTTCTAAGATGATTTTAAGCCATAACAACTCACATATACCTTGTGCCATGGCTCAGAATTCCACTTCAGCACTGGACCGAGCCACTACACCCTGCTTTTTGCTTCTCCAAGTCACAAGATTTCCTCCAAGAAAGGTGCAATATCCTGTAGTTGACCTCCTATCCACAATTGACCCTGCATAATCAGCATCAGTATAGGCTTCAAGCTTCACATTACCATTCCTTTTGAATAGAATCCCTCTTCCTGAAGTTCCTTTAAGGTACTGTAAAATTCTGTGGGCTGCTTATAAATGGGTATCCTTTGGATCATGCATAAATTGGCTAATTAAACTCACTGCATCTGGCCTGATATGCGACAAATATATAAGTCTGCCCACTAATTGCTGGTACATATCTTTTTCAACAACAACATCTTCTGCATTTCCAAGCTTTAGGTTTGGTTCTAATGGGGTACTAGCAGGTTTGCAAGCTCCCTTGCCAGTTTTAGATAAAGCCGTGTGCCATTGAAGAGCACGACCCTCTAAATGAACTATTGCTAATTGAACACGAATGGGGTCAGGTGTGTTGTCGATCAAGAAGAAATTATTACACTGGTACACCCACTGATTCACATTTTCACCATAAAATCGTGGAAAATCAATGCGAGCGGTACCACAAGAATACAAACCAGCATTGCGACCATCATGACGGTTTACCCATGGAGAGCCTTGTGACTGCTGTAGTAAGAGGTCGTCCATAGTTTTCTTCAAAGATTCGTCAAGAGATCGCTGCATTGTCTCTGCAAGCTCAGCCAATCGATTATCGAACCGAACGGATAAACGCTCCTCCATATCTTTCAGAGCCTGAGCATTTCTTGTCGCTTTTGCCATGGAAAACTCCGAAATGGATCGAACAAGCTGATACCAATTGTTATGATTCTTTCTAGAACTAGGAAGATAATTCTTCGAAGAACTGGAATATGAAAAGGGAACCCAAGAATTGAAAGATTCCGATGTATTATTGAACTGAAGAGAAGAAATAAGAGGGAAGATACAATTGACGGGAGACTCTATTTTTTTTCCTCCTTTTCTTTATTACAAACTAATTATTATTAATAGCTATTTACCCCAACAGTTATAACTGCCTAACTAACTATTGCTGACTCAGCAATTACAACTTACTGAAATTACTTATATCAATTCCCTATTTCTAGGGTTGGGTTCACAACTTCCTCTTCCCTTGACATTATAGCAAGAAGGTGCAATGCAGGCTGTCGTCTTAGGGTTAAGAAAAATGCAGTAGTAATATAGGCTACCGTCTTAGGATTTATAGTGCGTAGACAGAACTTCCTAGATCGGAAGCTTTGATACCATCTGGAAAATTATATTAAATGAAATCTTATTTTATTATTTTAATACAAAGAGATCATACAAGATATATACAGGAGACCTAAGCTATTTTAGGAAATATAATAACTCTATTTTATTCTAGGATCCCTTGATTTAATGGATTGTTCCTAATTGTTCAAATCATGTACAGATTACAAATTTCCTAATTTATTCTTTCCTAAAATACTATTTGATTTCCCACAATTTTATTTCCACAACTTCCCAGCCAGGTAAATATAAAGTAATCCTTTTGGTTGGTTTGGTGAATTTCGGGATTTTCTCCATAGTCTGGAGCATTTTCCTTCTTTAAAAATAACCATAGTTACAGCCATTGAAGCCTATAAGAAGGTCATTACTATTGTAATTCTGCTCTATAATACCTTACTAGTATAAATATATCCTATTATGGTCTGATTTAGACATACAATTCAGTTTTCTCCATCACTGCAAGAGTTGCAACAGAGGCCAGCAGCCAATTACATATAGATTAGTCTTTTGGACTTGTTCAGTGATGCTTGTGTTTTCCATCATAGTTAGGATCAACAATTTCTCATGATTAACTGCAATAATTTTTAAAGGACTGAATTTGTAAATTAACTTGCAGCTAATGAAACCTAACAACCCTAGAAGTGATCTATGCATTATGACAACTGATCTTAATGTCAAAAGAAAAATTAAAAAAAAATGAAACGTGTTGTTGGAACTTCTTGTTCTAGATCACAAGACCCAACAAATGAGTACAATACCTTTTCCGTCTCTCCTATGTTAGTTTGTGGTTTGATATTGTACACAAATTTGCTGCATTATAGGAGATTAAATTTACCTATAATAAGTTACTTCTCTCTGCTGTGGTGCTGGTGCATTTAATGGCTGTGGAGTAACAGTTTGAGGATTAGCAATTTTCAAGAGTGTTACTGGGAGGTTAAGGACTTCCTGCTTGCAGACATCACAACTCTTGTTTCCTTTGATACTAAACCACTTTACTGCACAGTCTTGGTGAGCAAGTGCAAGCTCACCTTTACAGCTGCATTCCATCCTGAGAGTATGCCCTCCTTCCGCAAGCTCCACCAAACAAATCCTACAAACTGCATCTTCCTCTGGAATATCCTCAGAAGTATCTTCAATGACTGGAAATGAAACAGTGAAAAAAAATACTAGGTCAGACTATAGTATGTGGTTTCAGTTCTCCTCTCAAGCATAAGCAATGTTCAAATAGTCGAAAGAATTAAAACCTCTTGGGAATGGGCATTCAACAGCTTTCAACATATTAAAACTAAATATAAGCAAGTATGGTTTGTTGCCACATCCTTTTATTAGAATATAATGAGGACCAGAGGAATCAACACCCATATATGCAAGATAAACAATGAGACACATGACTGCAGAAGCATAGAACACGAGAAATAAGTAAAAATATAGGAAAGGGGAACAAAATAAATTAAAAGTTACTAAAATCTTCATGAAACAAATCCTGAGTTTCACCCAACAAACAAAAGTTAGAAAAAAACTATAAAAAAGTACACATGAAGTTTAAATAAAAGGGGTGAAAACAGAATAAGCTTTAGTACAAACAACAAAATCCTTGCTTCAGAAAAAGAGAATTCTGAGCTTAGGTTTTGTCGCTGTTGTTAATTTTGTATTTTGTTAGTTATACTATAAACAGAGAAGAGAACTTCTATTTACTGCTTATCTTTCTTCTACCATCAAAGTTAAAACCTCCAACAAATTCTTTAGCAATTCAATTTCTCATTAAGGCATAAGATGAGTATTGATTATTTGTGTTAAGGTTCCAACATAAAACCAATTGGCAATATGTGGAGTAGCCTAACATGTATTTAAACCATACCAAATGATATGAGGTAGGCGATGTGGGACTTTCAACACACCCCCTCCAACGAAGCCTGCCGGACCAGGCAAAGGGTACTTTTGACCCAACTAAAGGGCAACTTTTGGCCCTTGACAATAACCGGAAAGATGTTAGGCTTTTGGCTCTGATACCATGTTAAGGTTCCAACATAAAACCAATTGGCAATATGTGGAGTAGCCTAACATGTATTTAAACCATACCAAATGATATGAGGTAGGCGATGTGGGACTTTCAACAATTTGCAATCAGAAGACACAACATTTATGATTTGAAATGCTAATTCAATATTTGTAAGATTGTTACACGTGTAAAATACTTCCATTTTCCCTTAGTGATGCAAGCCCTAAGCCACCGAGAAAGCTAGATTTGGTAGGAATTTGAAGAAAGATTGGAGAACTAACAAATAAATTCATCTTCTATAAAAGGGATATTAACTAAAAGCCTGCAAAATGGCTATGGAAGTAAGTTACTACTTGAGCTAAGATCATAAAACGTTAGGTAAGCTATTGCTATTATAGTTTATACATTTCATCTGTAAAAATGTCCAAAACCATCATTATGGAACACACCACAGGCAGGGAATCTCATTATTTCAAACAACTGCTTCTGCATTGATTCTTTCAGGAAATTACAGCCATCCACAAAAATCATGTAGATTTAGATAAGCAATTGATAACAGTAGGTGATAAATACATATTTTTTTTTGTTCTTACTAAAAATGAGAGTGCTTAAGCATCACTATGTTGTTTATTATCCCAACTATATTAGCACCACTTACAACTCCAATCATATAGAAAGATAAACCAAATCCATCTCGAAAAATCTCAGGGGAAAAAAACTAGGAACATTATCCCACCATGTATAACCCTGAGACCTATTACTAAAGTCAGCAAGTATATCTGCACATTGATTAACCTCCCTAAAAGTATGACAAAATTAACACATACTGCTACTAGATACAAAACAATTGAGCCATCTATTATGAAGCTCCCAAGGAACAATAGTACTATTAGACTGAACCTGGATTACAAGTTGTGAATCACACTCAATCCATAGATTAGTCCAACCTCTAAAACAATCTTTCAATTTGTAATTCATTCTTTAGTAGGAACTCTCATGCATTCAACCAAAACTAGATATCATCCAATCCTCCATTTCTTAAAGTTCCAATGATCCTTTTCTATCAAGAGGGGCGGAGAAGCATTATCATCCTCTAGTCATATATTAAACAAATCTTGAAGAAACAACTATCAGTTGCTTGGATCAATTGGCACATGTAAGCATGGCCACTTTCTCGAAAATCAAATTATTATTCCTATCTTTTCCTTCATCTTCAGTCTTTTATAACAATGCTTTCACATTGCTAACCTTTTTATGGCTCAGTGTCTGATATTAAAAAAAATGTTGCTTGCCAAAACACCTAACTGTTACAATTGAAAAAAAAAATTTAAAAGGTTACCTAGAAAATAAAAATTTGAATTCGATATATTATAAAGAAGCTTTACCAATCTCTGATCCGGAAGCATTTTGAGATGAAATGCCATCACTGGTAATTAGAAGTGATCTTGCTGAAATTACACGAATCAACCTTCTAGAATCTGTACGTCTTAAATTAGCACCTTTGATATTTACTGGAACCGAAACCGATCGAGTTATGTGCTGATTTACTTCCATTTTCTGTACTAAATAAAAATTCATCAATGCAGCATATCTGAAGTATCAAATATCATTGCCTATATAAAAAATAATGTAGAAAAACTTTGACTATGAGTTAACTCCAACATTATTTCGATTGGTATAAAAACAGTTGTTTTGACATCATAAAACAATAAGAGAACAGCAGAATCATACACTTAAATCAGAATCACACCCTAGATGTCTTCCTTGTACAATCTCTGCACCTGAATTTGCAGTTGGAGTAACTGGCAATGAATGTGTGGCTTTGGTTGATGAAGGGAACAAAATCTTGTTAAGAGAAAGAGACCTTGAAGTTGAAGGCTTAGAAGTTGAAGGCTTATCCACAGGACCATCTGATGGTAAGTTATCAGGAACAATCAGAACTGTCCTTTCACTATCTTGTGAACCATTCTTAGCCCTAAAGCTCCTCTCTGAAAGCAAACTTTTCATAGTGGACTTGACTCTGGCTGAATTTGGCCTTGGGGGAAGTCCTCGAGTGGAACCTGGACTTGATATCAATGTAGGACCATCTGTCTTTGTAAAAGAGGATAATGCATTTTCCACTGATCTTGCTGGTATTTGTAGAGAGGAGAGGTTCGGTCTTCTGGACTCTGGAATCAAGGAGGTACTGTCACCTATCCCATTTCCAGTATAACTCTATAACAAATAGGGCATTAAAAATTATTTCACTGAAAACTAACACACACACACAAAGAATAAATAAATAAATAAACAATATTTTTCCAAAGGAGAAAAAAAGTAAAGGCAATCTTCTGTTCTACCCATATGGTAAAAGTTTGAACTTTGCATTATCGAGGTGCCTGTAGCTCAAACCAAATGAAACCCAATTTGGTGTGAAGAGAAATCATGCCACAGGCAAAAGCGGTTTCAGTTTTCAACTTGCAAAATTACCTGATGATGGTGAAGAAGAAGAGCAGGATCTGCTGCCTCAAGTTGAAGTTCAGCAGCTGCCTTGTCCATTAAAGACAGATTCAGAGGAAAGGAATATGGTATTTCTGAAGAGAAGGGGGGGCAAATCTAAACTCATCGACAATGATACCATCACCCTCACATACAACAAAATAGAATAATGGTGTTAGGAGTGTGAAGGAAGAGGAAAGAGAAATCAATGATGGGTAGCATGAACAATGAGTGAAGTAAAGTTTGTAGAATATTAAAATAATTGAAATCACATCAATAAAATAGAATAATGGTGTTAGTAGTGTGAAGGAAGAGGAAAGAGAAATCAACGTGTGATGTAAAGTTTGTAGAATATTAAAATAATTGAAATTTTATCATTTTGAGAGCCTGAGCTATTTTAAAATTGCCACCGCAATTATTATTCCCCGCCAACTTGTCATTTTGTCGTCTCTATCGTATTTCCACTTCGGCATTTTGTCCTCTTTATGGCATTTCCACTTCGGTCATCACTAATCTCTCTTTCTCAATTTATTTATTTTTAAATCGAACCAAGATTCAAAATTTAATGATTTAAAATATATAATATATGAAAAACTAAAATAAAATATAAATATAAAAAATTTAAATTAATATAGTATCATTTTGATAGTAGAATCGATAATTTATTTAGTGATTGTTTATTTACGTAAAATTAAAATAAGTAAAAAAATTAGATTGTGAATCATTATGTCTAAAGTTTTTATAATAAGAATTTTAAGTAAGTGAGTCTAATTTATTGAATGACTATATAAGTAAGGTTACTATTAAGGTATTTTTGGTTAAAAAATGTTTCTACTACTTAAAGAAGGTGTACCAATATAAAAGAAATCACACTTGAGGAAAAAAGTATTAAGAATTTAAGTATGAGTTGAAATACCGCATTGGGTAAAAACAGGGGCAGCTCAAGGATTTAGGAGGACTAAAGAAAATTTAAGAATGAGGTCTTTTATTTAGTAATAAAATAATTTATGTTAAAATATATCATAGTTTTATTTAAAATTTATTTTTCGAGCTTTTTGTGATGCAAAATTATCTATTAAATTGTCATAATTAATTTTATTTAATATTTCTTTTTCAATAGATAATAAATTCAATCCATTTAATCTTTGTTGAGACATGGTTGATCTTAAATAATTTTTTATTATTTTTACTTGTACAAGAAACAACATTAAATAATTTGCAACAAAAACAAAAGACTCTATCCAAATCTCTAGAATAAATTAGTCATCTTCTTTCGTGTTTCTCTCCATTAGACAATATTTGAATATAATTTGTTAAAAAAAAGTGTCTAGAATATTTACCTTTTGGAAAATCTATATAAGTGATTTTAATAGGGTCATTTCTTACTAATAAATCTCTCAAATTTGTATCAATATTCTTCCATTGGCTTGTATCATATATATTTTCATCAATAGTAGAATTATCATCTAATTTCTCAATCTCCTCCTTGCTATCATGGGTTTGAGAATCGAATTGTCCTCATTACTAACTACTCTCTCTATTGTTTCTTTCACCTATGTCTATATTGTTATTATCTTATTCATTCAAAAAGCACTCACCTGTATTTTCTAATTCATTTTTCTTATCTATTTTTGTAAATTTATCCATAACTCCTTTTTATGATGAAATTAAAGTCTCGACTCTTCTCTTCTTTTGGAGTTTTGAATAGCCTGATTCATATTTTCTAGTTGACATATCTATATATTTTTATATGAAATAAAAAATTATAATATATAAAACACTACTAAAGATAAGTATATAAAAAAGAGTGAGTCGAAATAATAAAACCTGGTTTTGGTTGTGAGTTGTCAAGAAAATAAACAGTAAACGAAACTATAAAGGCGTAAACGATACACAATAAATTGAAAGAGACACTATCAGAGTATCCTAATGTACAACAAGTTTTAAATTTTAGAATTTTACCTGATATGATGCAATATCGCATTGCAAAGAAAGAAATGTCAAAGAGATCCTTGCTTGAGTTGCGTTGTCTCGTTCTACCCCTTGAAATCAATAAAATTGAAACACACACAAGTAGAACACCAACAACCAACACAAGTATTGTCGTCGTCGTAAAAAAGTGGTTGGTGCAACGCGATGATTTTGATGACTCGTGTTTGTTTTAAAAATATGGTCATCGCTCTTAGGATGTCCGATAACCGAACTACCCTTAGAGCAAGGTTTTCGTAAGAGGGTTCTAGAGTTGCCACCAATGTTTTTACCATAAACATTGGAAAAGGAAAATAAAATAAGGCGTTGGTTTAAGAAAAAACAACTTTTCCCATTATAACCAGAGTTGGGTAAGGGAGTTAATTACGTGTGGGGAAGGTATTAGCACCCCACAATGCCCCTTTCAAGTTCCCTATGATGGAATAATCTTAAAAATAAAGACAATAAAAATTATGCTTCTACCCTATTTATTTATTGCAGTATTTAAATGACTATCTACATGGCTCTAACTAATGCACACAAAAGGAAAGCAGTAAAGGAAAGTGATAAAAGAGAAGAGATATGAAGAAAAACCTCTGAAGCGTGCTTTTATAAATCTTGAACTTGAGGACGCTTTTTGGTAGTCCCCGCTCTCTATAGAGACACTCCTCCCTCGAACAAAAAAATTAAGAACTAAGCTCCTCAAGTGTCAAAAGATCACTTATACTCTGGAATAATACTCAGAGTAGCTCAAAAGTCCCAAAATAGGTTCTCTAAAGCATAGGAGAGTGTGAGGTGTGTGGAAAGGTGAGAAATGAGGGTCCTATTTATAGGGAAACGAGCCAAGAAAAGCGAACGACCGTCTAGCTTAAGTGGATGGTCTTCCATGACCTAAAATGAGCATGGACGACCATCTATTTAACATGGACGGTCGTCCATGGCTTAAAATAGGCATGGACGGTCGTCTCGTTAGCCTGGATGGCCATCCTACGTTTCTGAGAAAATTTCCAATTTTTATTTTCTCAGAAAACACTCCTTATCTTAAATGAAACCTAGAAAATGCTACTAGGGACCTATCAAAGTCTTTATCATCTTCGAAATGGAGGATTTCACTAGTGCAAAAAGGGGCTTTTACGTCAGGTATTTAGGGCTTTTTACGTCGTATTTAAGTCCGACGTTAAAGCGGGAGACGTAAATTTACGTCGGACCCTTTTGCCCGACGTAGATTTACGTCAGTTATCAAGATCCGACGTAGATTTACAATAAACAGACGTAAAAACCTTTTCAATTTTAAAAAAAACAGAAAATTTACATCGTATATGGTATACGCGACGTAAATTTACGTCGCATATACCAATATGCGACGTAAATTTACTGTTTTTTTTTTAAATTCGGTTTATTTATTCTGTTTTACAACTAAAACCTGCAAATAGTAATCCAGACAGTACCCGGAGGTTCAGCTTTTCTTTAGCTAGTAAATTAAAAATATAATATTATATAATTCAAACAACATAATAAAACAATATAATACAAACATACAAACTAAAAAATCTATTACAAACTAAGCTACCTATACAAACTAAACTAAACTACATAATACACACAATATAATATGAACAAGAACTTAAAAAATAATGTACTAGAATTGTTGAACAAAAAATTTTGCCCATTGTTCTCTAATTTCCGTAATCTCGCATTCTCGTAATGGAGATGGATCTTGAAATACCCGAAACATGAATTTGACTCTTGTAAGCATGCAACATGAATAAAGTTAAATAAACTTAACTAATGTTAAAAGTAATTACCTCCGTCCAAGAATCAATTAAACCCGCACAAACTATGGCTCTCATCCAATACATTACATAATAACCACATTCAAACGAGTCAGCTTTGCTTATTACACCGAAATGATGAAAAAAACATAATATTATTTTCAAAATTGAAATACAAACAATAATTATGGTATTCACTTATATAAATAAGTTTCTAACCTTAGGATAAATGAACCGCAAAGTCTTTGTTCTAGGTTTTCCACTTAGAACATTAGTTCCGCATACACGATTCTAAGTGAAAAAAAGTCATATATTATTCAATATGTATTCACAATTTAAAAACATAATTAATGAATAAAAGATAAAGTTACCCTTGTAATAAGCTTTTCATTTCTTGACTCGGTTTCCGATGTAATGAACAAAACCACACCACAGTTGTAATCCCGGGCATGATTACAATTAACTCGCCAATGGGACCTACATTGTATGACATAAAAATTAGTTACAAAAATATAAATTAAAATACAAATTAAAATACTAACCCTTCAATGTATGGAGCCAAATATATATGTCTTCTTGAGTCACTCATCCATGTTTGCATATATTGTTGGATTCCAACCTTTGTATTTCCGCATTTTTGGATGGATTGAGGCTCAATAAATCCGTACACTTCGGATTTTTCTTGTTCCACACTCAAATTGTCAAGGTACCTAAAACAATTAATTATAAGTTGAATATAATTATTATAATCTTAGAAACATAAATGAAAATGACTTACATTGCCCACAATTGTATGATGGAAATGTTTAACATGCAATTTCCCCCAAGCAATTTCTAAAGCATCTGGCAAGGAAATGTACAATGGAACACCGGAATTGTCAATTCCAAACACTCTAACATCCCATTGTATCCGACACTGGTCTCTTCCTCAACCGTGGTAATACGGCTAACAACATAGAGATGGGATCATCATCACATTCTCGTCGATCCTCATCAATAATAGGTTGTTTTTTATGCTTTGCACGACGCAAGTCCTCCTAAACAAATGATAACAATTAATTAAACATTTATATAATTATAATACTAGAAAAGAGTAAATAGACAATATGTATATATATATATATATATATATATATATATATATATATTACCTTGGTCTCAGTGCCGATAGTGGCATAACCAAACGTCTTGGCCAAGCCAAGAATGTCCCGCTTGCCCGCCCCACTAATTGAATCTCTTCATTAGGAAAAGGCACCGGAGCATTAGCATCATGAACTTCATCAACTACTACTCGTGTCCAAGCCTGGCCGTAGAGGGACA